CCAGGTGCTCGACTGGGTGAGGAGGGGGTGGCCGGGAGGCAATGTTGATAACAAATTCGCACCCTTTAAGACTCGCATGCAGGAGCTGTCCAGTTTGCAGGGTTGTCTTCTGTGGGGCACTCGAGTGGTCATTCCGACCTCGCTGCGTACCCGAGTCCTGGAAGCGTTGCACGAGGGACACCCCGGCATTGTGAGAATGAAGGCGTTGGCACGCAGCTACGTGTGGTGGCCGGGTCTAGACGAGGACATTGTCAATTGGGTAAGTTCCTGCAGCATTTGCCAGGAATCCCGTCCTGCTCCCCCCATCGCCACCCCTACCAGATGGGAGAGCGCCAGCGCCCCTTGGTCTAGAATCCATATCGATCTGGCCGGCCCCGTGCATGGAAAGATGTTCCTAGTGGTCGTGGACGCTTATTCCAAGTGGATAGACGTGGCGCAGCTATCCACGACCACCACACTAGCAATCACCAACGTGTTAACGCGCCTGTTCGTTACACATGGACTACCCGACTCCTTGGTCTCCGATAATGGCCCACAGTTCGCATCAGTAGAATTCAGCCGTTTTGCAGCCAACCTAGGCATTCGCCACATTTTCACAGCCCCATTTCACCCTGCGAGTAATGGGTTGGCTGAAAGGGCCGTCAGGACCACCAAAGAGGCCCTCGCTAGGTTTGGCAGAGATGACTGGCACCACAAACTCTCACGGTTCCTGATGAGCCAACACTCAACCCCCTGTACAGTCACCAATAAGTCCCCAGCGGAACTTCTGATGGGCCGGCGCCTGAGGACTGTATTAGATAGACTGCACCCACAATACTGCCCTGACTCTCCCCTCGCTTCCACTTCGGGGGTTAGACATTTTATGTTACAGGAGCCGATATTCGCAAGGAATTTCGCTGGGGACCCACTTTGGATTCCGGGCGAGGTCATTGCCGTCACCGGGCCAAGATCGTATAGAGTAAGGCTGGAGGATGGTCGCGTCTGGAGGAGACACATAGACCAACTCAGAAGGCGCCTCAGCAACCTCGCAAACAAGAATCCAGAGTCTCCAGTCGAAGGGGAACCGTCTCATCCGCCACCCAGCCACACCGCACCCAGTGACCAGTCTGCGCCAGCGGTCGTTCCGGTCAGCCCAAACTCAGACGACAGTGCCCAGAGAGTTGACCAACCGGATCCAACCCTCGAGAGCTTGACCCCAGAAACCAACCCGGTGGTTTCCGAGGATGCCCAGTCCAGAGAGAGTGTTGGCGACACTATGCCAGCTCAACCGTCACAGACTGATACCGAACAGTCAGACAATGTTCCCGAGTTGCGCCGCTCCGGGCGCCAACACAAACCCCCCATCTACCTCAAGGACTATGCGTGTTCGCATCTGGGGGGAAGGGGTGTTATGTCCTGAGGACTCAAGGAGTTCTCACTCAGGTCCACTCACTTTGTGTGGGCGTTATTTCCCAATTCCCCATTGGTTGGTTCTCCCCAGCAGCCAGCTATAAAAGCAGGCTGCGGGGTCCAACTGGCTGCTGATTGCTGTGAGCCAGTTCCAGGCTTGGCAAGCACGGTCAGCCCTTTATTTGTAAAATAAAGTACTGTTGCACTCATGCTCTGGTTCAGCCTCTCATTGCTCAAACTTAACAGCAATGGATTGGATATTAGTAGAAGATGCTGGGTTTTTGTTTTTTTTAATATCTTCCCCAAGAAATGGTTGGGGAAGATCCGGGCACTGCAGTTCAGCCCTGAGTCAATGTGTGTGTTTATATATGTGCAGTATCACTTAATTAAATAATGCATTAGGAATCTGATAAGATTCATATCCTTCAAAGAAAGCTTGCCACAGTCACACATCTGCCATTTGTTGAAATGGCTTCATAGACAGAGATTATATGAAGGTGCACTGAAATGCACCACCTCTTATTTTGGAGGAAAAAAGCTCTGCCTATATACATCTGAATAAGAACAAGCAATCTGTAAAAACAGAAATGTAAAAAAGATCCAGTTAGGTCCCTGATGGTCAGAGCCAGAGAAAGGAAAGAAATTAAATGGAGACCATACCAAAAAAGATCATTAAAAACAATGAAATATTTGGCCTTGAAAGAAGCAACAATAGAGAAGCACGGTCTTTCTAACCATCAGTTATCCTTAGAAGGGGCAGGGTACAAAAAAACATTATTGAATTTAATTTATTTTTTCCTCTCCAGGGAGTGATTGTTGGCTTGGTCTGCTTGTTGCTTAAAAAGAAAAGAAAACAGAAGAAAAGAGAAGAGAAGAAAAGTTTTTAATAAACATAGTAAAAAGTAATACAAACCAAACTTTAAAAACTGCAGAAAGTGCAAGAAAAAGAAAAACAATTAGAAAATAAAGGAAAAAGACAATAAAGACAGTAATGACATGGCTACCAAACTTCATTGAGAAAAAGCTAATATACTAACTGTTCATTTTCTTTTAAAGTTACAAATATTTTTTTTTTAAATCTCTTCTCCCCATTTACCTACACACAATCCCATATGTAGGTTAATCATCATCTTTTCAATTCTGATTTAGCAAAAAGTTCACTATCAAATAATTTATATTTGGTCAAATAATCCAACTTTATTCCTTCTTTTTGCTCTGCACAGTCTTGACTTTTAAATCCTTCCTATGGCAATGTGGGATTTGATATATCATCAGTCTAGTATTTAAAAGAAATCTTCAAAACTTTCATCAGCCTACAATTCAGAGGTGGTGTTCAGCAGGTTCTGACCAGATCTGGAGAACCGGTAGCAGAAATTTTGAGTAGTTCGAAGAACCGGCAAATACCACCTCTGACTGAAGATTTTGCAGTATCCTTCCCCTGCCACGCCCACCAAGCCACGCCCACAGAACCGGTAGTAAAAAAAATTGAATCCCACCACTGCTACACTTTAAATCCTGTTAAGAGGCATTGTCACAGCTGTTCCAGATCCAGATCCTTTTCTGTGATTTGTCTTTTGTCTTTTCTTTTTAATAATCTCAATGTTGTTGTTTTCCATGTTTTCAAACTCTATAAAGTCTGTCAGATAGATTTTATAAAATTCTCATTATTTTCTAAAAGTTAATCCATTGAAATCTGAATCGTTTCTGATATATTAGTCATTAATAGTTCAGCCTATATAAAAAAACCTCTTTAAGATAAAAAAAAAGTTATAACTGCTATTTTAATTGTTTTCTGCAAAGCTTTTTGGTTCTCACTTGTATCCATTTTCAATCTTCATTAACCCTCAGTTCTTAATATGGATTTAGTTCTGTTACAGTTGCTTGCCACAAGTATATTATTTAAATACTGTCTATACTTGTTTTTCAAGTCTTGCAGCAAAAATAACTAGTATTCCAAATCTCTCTGGTCTCCCAATCCCTTTAAAGCTTTTTAAAATCAAAATCCTTTTTTCCCAATTATATATTATTTTAAATTTTTCAGACTATATTTAAAATCTCTTAAATTCAAGAAGGTAAAACTTGCCAGGTATCAAACGATGGTTACTGTTTTGAAGGTCTCTTGTATTCATAAAGTAATCAAAATGAACATTTCCAAAAATGATTGAAAACTGAGCTTGACTGGCTTTGTGCCCTTATGAAAGGCTCTACCACTGCTGAGAATAAAGATGTTATTGTTGCTTATTGCTCAGCTCATGGCATTTAGATCTACCAGAGATCCTTATTTTACAGTCTCCTAGCAAGGAACTGTCATTTACAGCACTTCTGAGTGACCTCCCAATCTCTTCTCTGGAGAAAAGGAACAGCTCACCGGTGTTTCATTCTACACAGCAATTGTCATCTCTGCTTGTTCCCAGAAATGTCTTCAGTCACCTATGACTCTCACCGGAAGCCATTGGCTGCTTATAACTGACTCAGTGGTAGGATTCAGAATTTTCTACTACCAGTTCTGTGGGCGTGGCCTGGTGGGCGTGGCATGGCTTGGTGAGCATGGCATGGCTTGGCTTCATGGGCGTGGCTTTGTGGGTGTGGCAGGGGAAGGATACTCCCACGCCCAACAAGCCACGCCATTTCCTCCTCACTCAAGGGGGAAGGTTACTGCAAAATCTCCATTCCTTCCCCACCCCACTAACCTGCTTTCCAGCTCCATTCTCCTATGCAGGACAACAAAAGAAGACCCAGCCAATCAGCTGGGACTTGGGAGGCAGAGAATAGATGGGGGCGGGACCAGGCAGAGGTGGTATTTGCCGGTTCTCTGAACTATTCAAAATTTCCACTACCAGTTCTCCAGAACTGGTCAGAACCTGCTGAATCCCACCTCTGGACTGAGTTACTCAAGGATAATGGCATCAGGTCAGGAAAAAAGTAAGGATTGTTAGTCATGTGATTTAAGCTCCCAGGAGCATTACAGCTCAATGGATATGACTTAAACAGATTAATGTAAATGTTTATGTGAAATCACATAATTTTAGGGGATGGGATAAGGAGCTACCAGTCTATCTTCTTAAGAATAAGAGACAGTTATGTAAAGATCATGGACGTCATATAAAATATTAACAGTGCTTATTAGTGGCAAGAGGACTGAAAAAGGATGAAGCATCATATTTTATCCAACCCAAATCCTGTGGTGATTATGCCAAGTTTTAAATTTGGCAGTGGCCTGCGCATGTTCACAAGTAGGAAAAAGTACAAGACATCAAAAGTGTCAGAATTAAATTTTGCAAGATCCTTTTAAAAGGACTAAAGGCAACCCATTTCAGGTGGGAAAATGGCTTGCTAATATTAAATAGAAAACAACCCGCTACCTAAATGGTGCAGCAACAGCCAGGTTGGAAGGCAAAAAAATAATAATAAAAAAAACCTTTCAGAAAACCTAGCTGCTATATAAATCAGAGCTTTGCACATACAGATTCCTCTCAACAGAGCTAGAGGAAAATGACATCAATTATTTGTAGACAAGATTCTCTAGTTCAGCCATCAAAGGGCAACATAAATATCTCACTCATACACAGAGGGGGGCCAGCATGTTATTTGAAGAAAATGGCATAATTCACTGAGCTCAGTAAATAATAGGATACTGAGATCAGAGTTGTTGCTAGTTTTCTACTAAAAATCGAGGTGAGCATAGACATTTAGAAACTTGCTGTTATATTTTTATTCCCTCTATGTCATAAGACTTCTTTTTTTTTTTTATACAATGGACCATAAGTTTATCATCAGAAACTTTCCATCATAATAATATATTTTGTATAAAAATTAAACAGAGCTTTCTTGTCACTGGTACAAAGGACCCCACATCACATATTAATTTTTGAAGGAATTAAACAACCACCTGTCAAACGCAAAGGTTTTTGTTCAATCCCTGACATTTTTTAGTATATTTTTACAGTGTGGAATCTGGAAATAGACATGCCAATCTCTTCTTAGATTCATTTTCATTTGTCAGTGTCAATATTGTGCAGGTAGCACAATAATTAATTTTTCATAGTGCAAGATTAATGTTCTAAAAACCAAAAGAATATACAATTGCTTTCCATTTTACTTTTGCAGCAATGAGGATATGAGGACAATGCTTTTGCATCTAGTACTACCAGCAAGTGAGTAATTTTAATAAACAGGTGCACAAAGAGTTGAACAAAAGAATAGGTAAACTCTAATATTAGTTTAGGAGGCCCTTTTTGTATATTTTTCCATACAGAAATAATTATGTGAGAAAAGTAATATAACATTTGCCCTCCCTACATTTACTGATGAAGGTGGTACTTCCATACTATACAAGATGATGTTGACCTACACAATACAAATACGATAACATGGTAGCAGCTGGCACTTAAATTGAATGTCAGTTGATTTAGTTGGACATAGATTAAATCCACCCAGTGAATGTGGTATTTTTGCACATGATGGGGTGGGTTGCTTGGAAAGAAGAGGAAATGTAATATGATCTATTACATTTTCAATAATGTGGATAAAATAGGGATTTCAACCTATGTGATGAGAAGGTTCATGTAACTTCTTCCTTATACCTTATGCTACCAGGCTTGAAATTTTGGTCCTGGACAACCTAGAACCATGATGGTGAACCTATGGCACGCGTGCCACAAGTGACATGCAGAGCCATTTGTATGGGCATGCAAGCCCCAGGCAAACTTATCTGCACTGCGCATGCGCACGCCTCCCAAACAATTTTCGGCCCATTGAAACCGTTTTCACCCTCCCGGAGGCTGGAGGCAACCCTCTGCAGCTTCAGGAGGCCAAAAAAACAGGCCTTCTGGAAATACTGGAAGTGCCAAAACGGTCCCATTTTCAGCCTTCCGAGGCTGCAAAGGCTTCCCTTGAGCCTCTGGGAGGGCAAAAATGGCCTCAAACAGCCCAAAAATCAGCACACACATTTGCAGTGCAGGTAAGGGGGCAGGGGAGGGGTGTTGCACATGCATGTGCAGGGCAGGGCACATTGCATTGTGGGTGCTGGCTCATGCACACACATGCTATTGCACAAGTGCGCTTTCGGCACTCTACAACAAAAAAGGTTCGCCATCACTGACCAAGAACTATGTAGCCTACGGTCTGATCTAAGCTTAGTACACAAAATTGTCTGCTACAACACCCTACCTGTCAATCACTACTTCAGTTTTAACCACAATAATACATGGGCAAACAATAGATACAAACTCAAAGTAAACTGCTCCAAACTCGATTGCAGAAATACGACTTCAGCAACAGAGTGGTCAATGCCTGGAACTCACTACCCGACTTTGTTGTTGCATCCTCAAACCCCCCAAACTTTAACCTTAAACTGTCTACCGTGGACCTCACTCCATTCCTAAGCGATCTATAAGTGGGCGTGCATAAGCGCACCAGCCATCCCTATCAGTGATGGTATTCTACTGATTCGGCCCAGTTTGGGTGAACCGATATATCTTTTCTTTTTTTTCCTCTTGACGATCAGCTGTTCCTATGATCAGCTGTGCCAGGATTCCCCTCACTGTCTTACTGCTTCACCCAGGAGGCTTCCCTGAGGCCCAGGAGGCAAAAAAAACCCGGAGTGTGTGGGGGGATGCTGCAAAAAAAAGAAGCCACACCCACTCAGTCACATGGCCATGTAAGTGCCTGCCTTATTCCTAGGTTGTCTAGGAAGACCTCAAACTCACAGGATGTAAACTGGGGGCCGTTATCCGACACAATGGTGTCAGGGAGGCCATGGGTAGCGAATATCCTAGATAGAGCCTTAGTGACAGCTTCTGAAGTTGTGGTGGCCATCAAGGTCAGTTCCACCCATTTTGAAGGAAATTCTCCAGGAATGTACGCCCATGAACAGGGCCAGCCAAATCAATATGCACCCAGGATCAAGGGGCCACAGAATCTTCCCACCTGCCTGGAGTTGATGTGGGTGGAGCAGGTCTGGTAGCCTGGCATGGCTGACAAGCATTCACTCAACTTGTAATCTGAGCATCCATTCCTGGCCACCATACATAACTGCGAGCCAGGGCCTTCATCCTGACAATGCCTGGATGGCTCTCATGCAGGACCTTTAAAACTGAGTTTTGCAACTTAGAAGGGATAACTACCCTAGTTCCCCAAAGTAAACAGCCTTGCAAAGAAGATAGTTCTTGTTGGCGACTTTTGAAAGGCAGGAATTCGGGGGCATAAGGAATTGCTGGCCACCCCCTTCCCACCCAGTCAAGAACTTGGGTGATTACCTTGTCCCTAGAAGAGTGGGCAGCGATATCAAGGGCAGTTATGGGTAGTTTGAGATCATTGATCTGTAAAACAGCGTTAGTTGGTGCAGGATCCTCCATAGGAACAGGCAGTGGACAGCGACTGAGAGCGTCAGCGTGGCATAGACTCTTGCCAGGATGATGAACCAGTCTATAGGAATAGGCAGCTAGAAATAAGGTCCAACCTGGTCATTCTTGGAGACAAAATCTGAGGGGTTTGTCTTTCGCCAGACAGAAGGCCTAACAGAGGCTTGTGATCAGTGATCAGCTCAAAATAGTGTCCAAATAGAAACTCGTGGAATTTTTTGACAGAAGCAACTGCAGCCAAAGCCTCCTTGTCAATTTGGCTGTAGTTTCGCTCAGCTGGGGAGGTTCTGGAGAAAAAGGCAATGGGTGCCTCAGAACCGTTAGGCAGCCTATGACTTAAAACAGCACCTATGCCAAAAGGAGAAGCGTCTTCTGCTAAAACTAAAGGCAACTGTTCATTAAATTGTATCAGGACAGCATTGGATGTAAGTAATGATTTGACAGCGTGGAAGGCATGGGCTTCCCTAGGTCCCCAGTGCCAGGGGGATTGCTTGTCCAAGAGTCTGTGCAGAGGCTCTGGGAAGCTTTATGAGGCAAGAATGAAGCATAAAAGTTAAGAAGTCCTAAAAAAGCCTGGAGCTCAGTTTTGTTAGTTGGCGTGGGTGCCTCGTGAATAGCCCTTACTTTGGATTTGATTGGGTGAACACCAGAGGCATCAATTTTGTATCCCAAAAATTCTACCTGTGGGGTGGCAATAGTGCACTTGTCTTTCTTTAGCTTAAGGCCATGCTGTCTGAAATGATCGAGGACTCCTGACTCTTTGCAGTAACTGAGGCTTGTCAAGGGCAGATATTAAAATGTCATCAAAGTACGGAACTACGCCTGGTAATCCTTGTAGAAGTCTTTCTATTAAGGATTGGAAAATCCCTGGGGCTACACTTACACTCGCCAAATTGGAGGTGCCTACATTTAAAAGCACCCCTGTGCGTTACAATAGTTTGTAGTTCAGCGGCTGTGTCATCAACAGGGAACTGTTGGTAGGCCTGTGACATGTCTAATTTAGCGAAAATGGTTCCTGGCTCAAAGGAATGTAGAAGGTGCTGGATAACAGGGACTGGATAGGCACTGATTTGTAAATATCTGTTCAATGACATCTTGTAATCAGCACAGATTCTCAAGCTCCTGTCTTTCTTCAGGGGTGTCACTATTGGGGTTTCCCATTTAGCGAAGTCCACAGGCTCCAATACACCTTGTTTAATTAATTTGTCCAGTTCAATGTCTAATTTGGGGCAGATTGAAAATGGTACCCTTCGAGGCTTTAAACGGATTGGTACTGCCTGAGGGTCCAAGTTGAAAGATATTGGGGTTCCTGAATAACAGCCAAGCCCCTCGCTGAACACATCAGCATAGTCATTAAACAAGGTATTCACTTCAGCATTTGTAATAGAGTGGATTCCACTTATATGGAGACCGAGGGCAGGAAACCAGTCTAATCCCAACAGGCTAGGGAGTGCACCATCTACTACCACTAAAGGCAAGTGATCTTTAATATTTTGAAATTGTACAAAAACCTTGCCTTTTCCGATGACTGGGATGGTTCTGCCCTGGTAGTCACGTAGGGTTAACTGGCAGTCGAGAAGCTTCTTCTTAGCCATTCTGGGAAGTAGCTGTTTCAAGGTGCTCCAGGAGATGATGGACAGTGCTGAGCCAGTGTCAACTTCCATCCTGCAAGGTTTCCCTTCTATAGAAACAAAAACACTAATTTTGTTAGAGCCTTTGTTAGTCAGCTTGGCTTGATAGCAGGTAAAACAGTCTTCAACTTGCTTTTGGAAATGTTGGGTTGTCTGAGGCTTTTGGGTAAAAGTCTTTTCTGCTTGACAGATCCTGGCTAAATGACCCTTCCTTTGGCATTTTAGACAAATGGCATTCCTGAACTTGCAGGATGCCCTGAGGTGATTTTTCCCACAGCTTAGACAAATGGGCTGGTGCCGTGGAGGTAGATTGGAGTTTGGCCTACTTTCCCCTTGACTGTTTTTTTTGCTGCCTGAGGCGATTTACATTATTAGCCCTTTCAGAGCCTTCTTCTGAGGAGGCTTCCTCATAATGGATGGCTGAGCTGCCCTGACTAATTGGATTTCCCTGAATTTCTGCTGCTGAAAGCGAAGATAGTTCAGCAGCTGGAGACTCTTCAACTGCTATCTTAAGAGTTAAATCTCTTTTAGCCAATAGACGCCTTTGTAGCCTTAAATCCCTGACTCCACAAACTAGTTGGTCTAATAACACGTCTTCCAAATAGTTTTAGATCCACAATGCAAAGCGGCTGTTCGTAGGGCAGCCATATATCCACTAATAGTCTCTCCCTCAGCTTGAATCCGTTTCCTAAAAGCATGACGTCTGGCAATTTGGGATGGCTTAGGAGAATAGTGGTTGGAAAGAATTTCCTGCAATTCTTCCCATTGAACAGTCTTAACTGAACAGGGAGCCAATAATGCCGTAGCAGTGTCAAACACTGTGGCTCTGCAAAAACTTAAAAAGTAGGACTTCTTCCTATGGTCGGAAATGTCAGCAAGGTCTGTAGCATCTAGAAAACAGTCAAATTGGTTTCTGTAGGACTCCCATGTTTCCGCTGTCAGTCTGAAAGGCGGGAATGCAGGGTTCGAAGTCATCTCGATTCAGCGGTGCCATATCTTTCAAAGTAAGTTGAAATTCGCGCTCGCGAATAGTGACAGTGACAATCAGCTCAGTAGTGACTTTGGCTCTTTTTGTAGTGACTTCACTCAGTGATTCTTTGTCCGGTTGCCTCTTATAGGAATCCTGCCCTCGTCGCCAGTGTTGTGGAGCAGCGGAATAACCTGAGGCAAAACTCGGAGCAAACTTCAGCTGTTACTTTATTGAGACGCACTAACAAGGCAGTCAGCTGGCAGACAACAGCTGATGCCATTTGACAGCTCCTTTTATGGCCGGCTGTCAAACGGCGTCAGCCAATAGGAACGGTCCATGTTCTCGCTGGAAACATGGACCCGAGTGAAGACTTCTGCTTAGTCCGTTGTGAATGCTACAATACTTATACTTGTTTTCTCATACATGCTTGACAAGCAAACAAACAAACAAAATTAATTAATTGATTAATTAACACATGGAAAGCATGGGTATGGATATGGTTGTGGGGCAGCAGTGGTATTCAGCAGGTTTTGACCAGTTCAGGAAAACCGGTAGTGGAAATTTTACATAGTTGAGGAGAACCGGCAAATGCCACCTCTGACTAGAGATTTTACAGTATCCTTCCCCAGCCACGCCCACCAAGCCACACCCACAGAACCAGTAGTAAAAAAATTTGAACCCCACCAGTGTTGACCAGTACTTCCCTGCTTAACCAATTTAGATTATCCTCCACAAGGAAAATCTCTATGAATGTTCATTAGTTATCTAGAGGCTTACGGCTCAGGAAGGTCATGTGGGTCATCACACAACGGCCCAATCTTATGACATTTTTTTGCAGTGGTTGTTAAGCAAATCACCATGCTCTTTGAGTCTGTGGTCATTGTGCAGACATTGCAGTCCGTTTAGCAAACCCATGGTTTGCTGTGGGGCATTTTTGCCCAAAAAATCCAAAATAAACATAAAACGTGGTCATGTGACCACAAGATGCTGCAAAGGGCCATAAATGATGTCTGGTTGTCAAGCTCCCAAAATGTCATCAGGTGTCCAGGGAGGGTGGCCATCAGAACTCCAGAACCGGGTCATCAGTAGCTTTTGGGGGGATGGGGCATCGGAACTTTGAATGGCTGCTAAGCAACTACTCATAAGCCAAGGACTACCTGTATCTCATAATATTTGTAGGCATTGTATTATCACAATATGTTATATCAATAGGGATATCTTGCAGGAGAAACCTGGGCACTTAACAAGATGCGATTTTCATGGTTCCTGGGTAATGCATGCTGGAAAGGATATTGCTATATGTTTATTCAGGCTACTCCGATAACATCTCTTCTTTCACTTGCTTTTTCTTCAGCTCTAAATATATACTGCATATGAGGCAAATTATGAACAATCAAACTGCCCACAAAAAGGTTTGCAAATGACCTTATCCCCGCTGGATAAGGAAATGAAACATCTTAGAAAGCAGCAATAGCAAACTTATTTTTTTAAAAAATACAACTCAATTATTTTCCTTTATACAAAGAAAGGAAAATTTCATTTGTTTTCAGACTTTTGTTCCTTAGGAAGAAAAATTGTGTTGAATTGTATAGGTGCAGAAACGTTACATGCCGATATATTTGGTGTGGTTTTTTTTCCCATTTCACCTGGACTTCTTTCTATATTGATCTGCACGCATGCTATTTTGGTTAAAAACCCATTTTCAAGGGAAATTACTTATCCACTAAATGTATATACCACCTATCTTGTTATTCAAGGGCAATAGAAATGTGGCTATCCTACAAACGATTATCACTTCCTGGATTGTTGACCACTGTACTCCAGCACAATATATGTGATTAGGTAACTTGAATCACAGATACTTTGAATGGATCAAGAGGTCTTTAACTCCACCAGTTGTTCGAATTTTGTTTTACTGTTCTATTCACAAACTTATCCTGCTTACCACATCAAGATAAAATTTCC